ATAAGACGTTACTTTTTGAACAGAATACCTGACTGCTTTTAAAAATTGGCAGCCGAAACAAATCGAATTATTTGATTTCAAGTTTCATTAAGATTTTTCTTTTTTACGTTATCAGTTAACAGTAGCGGTGATAGGAATAACAATAAGTGCAATGAAAACAGTAGTAACGGTGACAACATTATTATTATTATTATTGTTATTATTATTATTGTTGTTGTTGTTATTGTAATCAATTTCACTGCAGAAAACAAGAAAGAAATGCAAAATATTGAATAAACACTGATTCAGAAACTCTTCTGAAGTTTTCGTGAATAAAATCAGATTGCAAAAATGAGTAATGCAAAATTTTTGATAAGATCAGTTACGCCTTAAGTTGGAAAAACTAACGATATAAGTTTGTAGAAATTTATTCAAACGACGCTCAAATGCTTGGCTTTGCTTACTTGGATTCTACATGATTTCCTATTTTGATGAACAGTTGACTAGCCTCAACCCACACCTTGGGAAGCACCAATTTGTTACGACGGATTGCTTTTACGCTTGCTTGGATGCATGCTTATGTGTTTACGTTTGTGTATGTGTGTGGTCGGCTTATACGTTAATTGGAATTTTTTTCTTTGTAGATAGATGGGCGGACGGATGAATGATCTTAGCTCCATTTTAGTTTTTAAGTGCGGGCACCGTTACGGCTATAAATCACCACATGATCTCACTGAAAACAGAATATGTTCATTTTCAACGTCAATATAAAGCAACATATTTCATAAGCTAACGTATTNAGTTGTGTCTTTTTTTCTTAATAACAAAAATGAGTGATCCTAATACTGTGCAGCTAGTTGGTAGTTTAGCTGTCATCAATTGAATTTTTTGAATGACTGACGTAATATTTTATCTATCAGACGTTCTTGATCATTTACATTTTGCATTTGTGTAATGGGATGAGTAATGATCGAAAATTATTGCATTTTTGGTAATGAGAAAATAAAATTTGAAGAAACGAACTCGTATCCTCTCCATTTTTTGATTATAGCTCCACAGCGGGTATTTCCCTCCTCGACATCATGCTTAATCGGTTGATAAGAACGCACGTGTCTTATCGGACGATGTTGTCTGGTCTTGCACGCAAGACCGGTATACGGAATTGACTGCGCTTTACCTTGATGCTTACTCAACCAAAACGTATCATCTTCTAATGGTACTGCAACAGACCTCATTAACGGCATGATCTAAGAGCTTACTTGCATCGCATACCGTGATCGTTCATTTGTAGAGTATTAACAATTGCAAACGATATGGTCACATTTCTCTCGAATATGTAGTCCAATTCGATATCGTCATCATCCATGCCGAACGGTCGCATCAATTCTTGACCCACCTGTTGCAGCACATCTTTAACAATATTCTCCAGTCACCTCAAACATTCACACTTCTTTCTGATTTGCAATTCCTCATCTTAGTTATGCTCTTCTAATTTTAACAAATCCAAGTCATTTATGGCAAGTGAGCGAACTTCTGAGAACCATAAGAATGCACTGTAATGTAATGCATAAAATTACCTTGAACCATCCAACAAAGAAGAGAAATTGGACAATGGTGAATATTGGAACCACAAAATCGATTTCGTAGCGTTTATATTTCTTGTGAGGATCGAGAAACTGTCGTCCCATAAGGCAGAAACCAAAATAAGCATAAGTTGCGAGTGCAGCAACCTGAATTTACAAATTACTGTGACAATTGTTTAATCAAACCTATGGCAAGAGTAAGTTCTGCCAAGAACGAAAGCTGGTTTTGTTGAAGTTGAGTTATCGAAAAATAGATGCAATATAACATACTTGGGTATATACGAGTGGCACACAAACCCAGTCGTGACAAAATAATTTTCGAAATGAGGATCGGTACTGCTTGAGTTCTTGAACGAAATGATTCGTTAATGATGCCATTGGCGCGTGTTCTTTGATTTCTTCACTAAGTATCTGTTGAATCCAATGTAATGGAGTCAACCAACGTACACTTTTCGCTTCACTCTGAAAACGCTTATCGAATTAAGGAGAAAATAGAAATAAAAGTGGCGATAGCGTTCAGACAACTGAAAATCAGTGGACGATTTGCGATGGAAAGAACGATATCGCTTAACTTTTATGCAATTATTCTAAACTTCATTCAACTCACACTAATTGCGTTAAGAAGTTCAAGTTCACTTTCAGTCATTAAACCACTGTCGACTATATGATGCAGTGTTGGGAAACGTCTTCGAATTTTGCTTGATATCTCACGCCTGAAAGCGTTTTAAACAATTTTTTTGCTGACTATACTCATTTTATGTGGACAATTTTTGAAATAACAAATTAGAATCAGCCGGTATTTCAAAAATCGCAGAAAGAAATTTTTGTGTGCCAGTTCTGCATCACCGTATGTATCACTTAAGCACACGAATGATACAATTGTAATTTGTTAGTTGTTGTATGTGATGATAATATTTTGAAAGTGTACCTTTGATGCTTAAAGTTGACGTTATTCCGTCACACTATTAGCTACTCTAAGAGAAAAGGTATTTTTTTCTGTGGAAGCCAATAAGGTACATTTTCTATGATGGAATTAAAATTGCATTACCAACCAAGCAAGTGCTGCAGTTAAGTTGGCATAACGTGCGATTGTATGCCTACGACGCTGACTGTTTTCATCCTTTCCAGGAATCACTGTGCATAGCACCGAAAGCATATCTTCGGGCCACGCTAACGACTCGAATTGACGCCACCATCTGAACACTATAGGTGAATGTGTCTGTCTTATTAGGAATTATGCCGTTGTTCATAGGTAACCAAGCATGAAACAAGATCTTTATGTGAAAATATCATAAATTGTTCCTTTGAATGATGCAAACAAACTATGAAAACATTCAATGAGTAAACTAATGAGCATATATTTCCATACAATTCACAACTTCTTCAACGACTACATTCTTGCTTTGCAGCACTGATCAAAAACTTAAATAATTTCCTCTCTCAATCAATTTTTCGTCTCTAACAATTTTTCATCATCTCTATCATTAAACTATGCATTTAAAAAAACTAACACATTGGAAATCGTAAAAATGCAATATTTTGTGCAAATTTTATCAGCAACAAAGCAACAATATTATGTGCGAATGAAAAAAAAGCACAAATGCAATACAGAAGGAATGATGACGACTTTAGAAAAGGTTTAAATGATGTTAGAAGTAAACCTGGAGACGACGTTTGAAACGTAAAAGCCCAAAAGAAATGTTAACGGCAGTAATCTTGTATAATCATCGAACATCAATGCCACTTGCTCGAATATCCTTCTAAATACGCATAATATTCATCAAAACGTTCGCTGGCATCTTTGCATCACAAAAATTCGCTTTTTTCATTGTAAAGTTTCTTTCATAATATATTCGATTCGGAAATAAACATTCTTATTTGGGAAGCTGAAAAGTGACTGCAACAAGTATTTTAAACAAAAGTCAATTGTTCATCTAGAATCAACTGCTTAGAAGTTACCTGTATTTTTCGGCATCATCATCATCAAGCCTGGTTAGTACTTGTGTATAGAACAATCGTATCGTATAGTAAAGAAAAAGGAAAATAGCAAGCTCTCTCCAAACTAATCGCCATATACTTCCTTTCCACCTCATCAACAAACGACAAAAATTGCCTGTATAAGAAATTGTCATTTTTCTCGCCTGCAATTCAACATTCAAAAATCAATTAATCATTTGCAGGCTATCAAAATTACATTATGATGTATCGTGATACGTTGCATAATTCATCAATGAGCGGTGCCTGTAGAAATTCAACAAAACTGCTGAAAGAAGTAATGCTTTTTTAAGAAGATCATTTGAAGATGAAGTTCATGAACAATGTTGAAATTGCAATTTCTTCGGTAATAATAGCCAAATTTATACTTCAATAATTCAAAACTAATCCGAATCTGTCGAAAATTGATTTGATTTTTAAGCGATCGAGTAGGATGCAAAAAGATTTTTTTGAAGTGAAGGAGCAGGTGGTGGTTAAATGAAGCTGATTAATGTACCGAAATTAAACATTATACATGATCCACACATTCAGTCCTTGAAACAGACAAAAATGTTGATTAAAAAGTAACACAATGGAGAACCGTTAATGGCTCGAAGTTTAGCTGCCAGAACGTTGAAAATGATCAGAAATTCTCCAAATCTAGAAGGCAAGGCTCTCTCATGTCACTTTAGGAAAAAAACAGCAATTGGTGTTTCATGGGATCGGTAGAAAGAAGAAATGCACGTACTCGTCTGCCTATTGTTGCTGATAAAATTTTACTGGACCCCGCTATTGTGTCTGACCTACGGTCAGCGTATGGCAGTATCAAAAATATGCCGCAAAATTAGCGAAACTTTAAAACATTCGAAACATTTTATAGATCCGGATACCGGGGTTTACACTGATACAGTGGAGTCGATGCGGCAAAAATTCAAATCCAAGTACAAGTCAAGATTCGGTACAAATCACAACTTATTGTCAACAATAATTTATATATAGAACAGTTCGTTTGGAAAAAAGGAATCTTAACGAGAAGGCTGTTTATTCAAATTGTGGAAGAAGATGGCAGAACTGTACCGTGTACAATGTGGTGTAAGAACAGCACAACTTAAACCCAACGGCCCTTTTTCTGGTCACTAAAATCATGAACCAGTCGTTATCTCATAGCTTTCACAACAGTGTCATTCACTGTTATCGAGAACCATTGTCTAACGTCTTAAATATGTGGTACCTAATTGTTGTTTGTATCCATCATGAGAAATGCTGCATCATGGTAGACACATAATGGAAGGGAAATATTGGACATGTGGGAGAGGGGATGAGACAAAGTAGAACGATAGAGACGTGCGATATAATCAATGTGCGCAAACATCGACCTTCGAATGAGAAATCTCGCACTTCGAAAAAATCTTGCTCACTTTGAAACTCAGGAAGCTGAAGTAGAAAAGTGCCAATGATTTTTCAAGAAACAATTTCTCGTATGCCAAATGTTCAAAATCATAGTATTAATCAAAATTTATAATGGATGATAGAAATTTAAGGAAATCAAATTGAAAGTGAATGTTTATAAATTCAGTTTGTGCCATGAATGTTAACTGAATCTGTTGTTGTGAAACTGATAGTCTGAATGCTGTCACAGTCAAACGGAAAGCAAAATAACATGATTGAATTTCAAACTCAGAGCCTAGTCGAGCATTAGATCAATAACAGCTAGAAGGTGGGCTGTTTGACAGAGTTGCTTTTTTCGAATTAGTTTGAGAAATTGATTTCAAGCTGATAAATTGGATTGACTGCACACGAAATAAAGTGAAACTTTCGGCAATAACGTACTTACCAATTAAAAATAAATGATTTCACAGTACACGCTTAAGACATAATCAAAACGGCAGTTCAATTGTCAAAAAATACCGGTGACTGCATAAATATCGCCACATTCTCTTCAACACGATTTCATCTTTTTCATACTTTCAAAGCGATATGCTACGATGAGTGAACACTTCACCAAGCGTTAGTGATCAAAAAAATGTCCGTCTGCATGAAAAAAGGTCACAATTTTTTTCCAACTTGCACCCAATCAAATATGTATTCTTAAAAAAGAACTTACTCAAGTTTACCAGTGAATACATGAAAGATAAAAATGTCATATAAACAAATCTCATGACCTCATGAAAGTAAAAACTAAGTAACAAATGATTCAGTTAGATGACATCGTTAATAATTTAATGAAACATCAACTGATTTATGAAGTGATATTAATTTGCTTTAAATGAATGTCACGTATGAATAAGAGAATGAATCCTTGCGCATGAATGCATTCAACTGCTTCCAGACAACATTATTCATTCTATTGATTCACCTCCAAGCATTCATATATTACAACAACACATCGCATGAAACATTCGTTAATGAACGAGCCATATGCAACATCTATGATTGAACGCAGCGAGCGATTCGATTCACATTGCGTTTAATGCATTTTATTTTTCAAGCACCCTTCTTCATTTTTACCACATCTCATTCACTTGTTCATTTTATGACTTGAAAATATTTTCATATAAATTGCAATTTTCTTCATTCCACTGATGAACACCGTCATCTTTCAATAAATTTTGCTTGCAATCATCCTTTGCTATCGCAAAACGCTTTTTCTGCTCCTACCAAGTAAACCAGCTGAAATCACCATGCAATGATCATCAACCGATCAATCCTATTGAACATAATCTAAACAATTAACAAGCTATTATACTAAATCATGTTGACCAAAAAATTCAAGCAAGTAGCATAGCAAGTAGTGAAGGAAAAGTGAGATGAGCAAGTTCAAAAAAAAAGATAGTAATTCGAGTAAAAGACGCTGATTTGGATGGATGGTTTGTTGATTCATCGTTGTGTTGGTAGGTTCACCTGTCATCAGCTACCTGTGCAAACATGTGTAAAACGAGCACGACAATATATATGTATGCTGTTGAAAAGGGATGGATGATTGAGAGGACAACGGATCATTTCCTGCCCTGTTTATTACACGGGCGGTGAATCAATTGAATGAACATTTCGTCGTGGCTAATGTTGTTGCTTATGGGTGGAGAAGAATGTGATATCATGCATCAACGTGCACGATTCGATTATATTAGCAACATATATCCAAAAGACATGATGTCAGATGTGAGTGGACGGATGAGTCAGCAACAAATTCTGATTCATTGCTATAATCCAACACGGTCATCAATAATATTACACAATAATCCTCAATGAATGAGGAAGGAAATTATTTATTGATCGTGAGAAATAGATTGCACTGCACGACTGGACAATTCAATTTCCAGAATCATGCTTTTATTAAATACTATCTGTCGTTGAAGTATTTGCAAAATTTAAAACTGATTTTAGACTTTTAAAAAAATTTAGACTATCTCGATAGACTTTAAAAAATTGATTTTACTCAGTTGCTATAGTGGCACAAAGAATTGTTCAACTTCCTGCTTGTTATCATTTTCTTCATTGAATCTGTTCCAACTCTTCATATCGGCTTGAACAATTTCATAGTTTTTATCACGAATAAAGGAATTTACAAAATCGTACACATACTAACTTCTTACAAGTTTTCCGTTCGTTAGAAATTCGTTCACGTTCAACGAACTCATCGATTTGCTTTTGTCTTTACTAATCGTAAACATTCACGCAAGAAGACATTATTTATGCTTTTTTAACGAATCAGACGTATACTATTCGTCCACGTTTCACTTCTTAGCACACAATAACAACATGAAAAAACTGCGATGAGAACAAAACATTCGCGCTGTTGTCGTTGCTACAAAAATCGAATATGAGATGGAAATTCATCGAAGCAGTTAGGAAGTTTTTTTGTGCAACAATCGAAACGGTAAATTTGGAGTTTTGAATGCTTTTTTTTTCGCACTGTACAGTTGCACTATTATACACCAACAACACTTCATCAAGGACTGAATCATTTTCGTAGCAAGGTGTGTGTATGTGAGCGTTTTTGTTTGCGAGCGAATGGCAAGAGGGATTGACGATGTACTCACAAGAAAGATGACGAATCATCATAATAGGACTCGATGTATTCAATGAATTTTACAAAAATCGTCGTTTAGTGTTTCCACACCAACTTTCAGAACAAAGAATTGCACCAACATACAATTTCACCGTTTATGTTCATTTCGTTTGGTTGTTCATTAAATGTCAAATTGTTCAGCGATAAAGTGTTCGAAAATTTCACTCATCGAATTTTTACTCTCTACTTTATAGTTGTGGCTGAGATCAAATCATCGTTATGCAGGCAAATAAGGTTTACAAGATGAGAGACAGTTACAGAAAAACGATGAAGAAGAGGATTTCGTAGATTCTGTTGATGAGTGTTTATCGCAAACAAGCCTAACTATCGAGCAAACAATCGCAATTACAGTAAGTACACAGAATGGCAAAAGAGCGATGAGAATTTGAGACGTGCACAACAAATTCATATTCGAAGAATGTTGCTCATCGATTCGTGTAACATCTTCGTCAACATCAGCAATCAACATTTGTGGTGAAACTAGATCTACTTCGAAACGTTCGTCATTCATTAATTTCGTATCCACTGATTGTCGACGTTCTCGATGTCTTTTACAATTGGGTGGCTGCAAGAAGATAGAAAAAACTGTATGATGGTTTCAAAAAGAATCTTTACTCAGTATAATGGAAGAATGATAAACAAAAATTAAACGATGAAGGAGTAGTTATTACCGTGATTCCATAGCATAGCCCTAAGATTTTCTGACAAAGTTGAACTTGACATGTGAAATACAATTGATTTGTATCTGCATACTTAAAAACTTGACTTTGCGCATGGGCTCTCATCGCAGACGCATCATAAGTCAATTCATTCAATAGAGAATTATCAGTAGAACAACTGAAATAGAGAATGGTTTTTAAAAAAAACACTTGCAAAATGCAGTCTTGAAATGAAATGAGTATATATTGTAATTTGTTGTTAATCGAAGAGAATTAATTATTTTTCGCTATCGATCGCACCCAAATCTGAGCAATATATCTAGCAACAATTATTTTTAAGCAGTTGCCTTTTTTGAAGCGCTGAACAAACGACTTTGAAACATTACTTGGTTCAGCAATCCCATTCAGCCTAACTCTGTAGTGCTGAATTTGAGTTTTTTTTTTCTCGTTGGAAATGCTTTAGTAATCACATGGCTTATACTTTGTAAATCTAATCAGTTGTTCTTTTGAGCTAATCTACGTAAAACTGAGAAGAGTCGAAAAACAATTTTTACTCACTATCAGTAACGCTTTACCATTTTGAGTTGGGAATTTAATCAAGACGATAAAAGCTTGCGATAAACTAGTGAATAAAGTGACTTTAATGTCCATACCCATCAAAATTTGATCAAGCTAAAAATTTTGAACTTTTCGTTCAAACAATCGCCGTTAATCTTTCATCACGTTTCATTCTCAGCAACAAGACTTTAGGTGATCACTCACCCGTACAAATCGACCACTGCATGTTGTTCACCTTCACCATCCGTGACAAAACATTTTTTAACAAGCATTCCCATCCCGCCACCGTTGCACTCCCAAACGTGAAATACCTAAAATACACGAAACTACCAAATGAAAGTTTAACTAGAAAATATCCACATCAATAATTTATAAGTTAACAAATCACTTCCCTTTCAATGTTAAATTATAATATAATGAGATAGATCTTCTGACTCCCTAATGACCTCTCTTATGATCATTTGGATACTATGTATTGTGCATCAATTGAAATTGATTTTCAAAACAAAATCTATTTCTAATAATACTTCTCTAATATTTACGTAGAAATAGTGATTGTTTGTTTTCTAAACAGATCGAACACAACATAATGTACCGTTTCGCCTATATTTGCAAATTTTACTTGTGGTCCATTCACACTTCCGCGTTTTACAGAATATTTACACGTTGGCATGACTGGTTCATGCGATAGCACAGATGACGTTAATTCGCTGAAATTATTCTATTGTATTGATTATTGCTGTTATCATTTTTTGCTGTGATTATTGTCAGCAATGCTGCCAACTTTAATATTCTTATCAGACGTCTGTAACAGCAAACTAAATTCACACCAAAACAAAAAATTTTCATTCACCTGACTCTAATGGCTGCAGTAAGAATTTCATTGCGTTCCATATAAAAACAATTCAAGTGAAATGCACGATCATTTTTCGTAATGAATCCATTCGGATGAAATGACACAATTAGTGTAACCACAAAATTTATTCCTCGAGGATTCACCTTCAATATCAACGTTGAATCGTGTTAGCACATATTATAGTTTAATGAATCATGTTCTATGAAATTTACCAAAAATCTCTGCAAGGCATCATTTTTCATTAAGATGTTAGTACCATTCAGAACGGTTTGAAAAATATCCTTTTGTTCATTTATTAGTCAATGGCTAGCTAATTGATTGAATGTCAATAAAAATGAAAAGTAGGTGAGAGAATATATCAACGATAATATCTTCACTGCGAAAACTAATTGGCTATTATCATGGTAATTAACCGATCGAAGACGCTGCATTCCACAATTGCCAAGTGAAAGGGCGTAGGAGTTTGTGTTGTTGATGGCAAATGATCGTCGACATTCAACATCTTTGGAATGCCCCTTCACGAAGATATTACCCAAAAATGGTTGAGCCGTTACAATATCCAACGCAAGATCGTTTTCTTCACATGAAACCTTTGGTACACCTATGAATAATCAATTGACTTTCGTTAGTGTCAGTTGCAATTTCTTCATGAAATTATCAATCTCTGAAGTATTTTTCACCTTTTCATTACTATTATTGTTACTGCCATCCATATTAATATCTAACGTTCAATCTCGTTAGGCCGTTTCACTTCACAGTCGAGAAGAACTGTTCAGGTTTGTTGATAAGTGAAATGAGCTTATGAATGTTATTGAAAATGTTTATAATTTTATATTACCCGAATATAATTAGTCATTATGCAAATGAGGTGAACATTACATTTGAAAATCGAATTTTTTTGGGAGCAAATTGCGGTAATTTCATCATTGCTTTGCTGTTAGGATATTTTATATGGCAGAATTAATGAAGTGGAATATCATCAAGAATGCTCGATGAACAACAAAATAATCAAAAATCCGTTCACAAAATAGTGACCATGTGTAAAGATAATTGGAAAAGTGTAATTTATTGCGTAAGGGTTATAAACACTAAAACAAATATATAATAACGAACCTATGATATGGTTGTCAACATAAGCGAATATCGTAATAAAATTCAGTACCAACAATAATATGAGTAACATTGATGCAAATATGATGAACGATTACGACGATTTCATAAAATTCTTTATCCATTCTCAATGGTCAACAATCAAGGCCATTCATGAATGAAACGACAGCTGCTAATCTGCCTCGAACCGAACCCAAGCGCCCTTTCAAGTTCAAGTATTCAGGTGCTCGTTGTCAGGAAATGCATCATTTAGCGAACAACCATCCACTTTTATTATTATTATTATTACCGATGTATTCTATTATGAATGCAATGCCCTCAATAAATTCACCTACCATTCATGCCAATAACTAGTTCGTTGAGGCGATTGTCAAGAGTGAAGAAAGTATATTTAAGGACGGCAGCTATTAGTAAGCAGATTGAACGTGTTTTTTCAACCATATGAAAGGCAAGAAATACTGAACTAAAGTCATCACGTCTCAATTTGCATTTTCCTGGTAATAGATATCTGTCACAGCAGATTCAAATGATAAAAAAAAGTTTTCTTCGTTTGTATCCATCGATTGCTTGAAACGAGGAAGGGAATTAACTGTATGAGATTGAGTGGTGCTCGATTGGGTGCTCTTAATACAGAAAGTGTATATTTTGAACTTAGTAATAATCCAAACGACTAAATTTCGTTTTAAAACATGATGCACTGAGACAGAGAATAGCTTCAAAGTAGGTGAGAACAACATTTCGGTAGGAAATATTTTATTGGTACAGTTACGTACATAGAACAATAGCAAAGCAAAAATTATAGAATCTGACAATAGGAGTTATTGTAAGAGAGATGCGGAAATACATTGAACAAGTGAATATTCCGAAGGACCACTGAGTGGTTGTTGAGTCTTTAAAGCGTTCGCGATACCATCATGAATAATCGATTCCACACAACCGTCACCGCTCCACAAGACATTCTGTCCATCGAAATGATCAATAGTGATCGTTTTCGCATCCATATACAACGTCGCCAAATGACCACGTAAACGTATCGATAACGAATCAGCACTGGACGCAGTCAAACGAATCGTTGCCACTGTACAACCGAATGCAATCTGCATATGCGCTATGTCCAGTTCTCGTAAACGAAAATGATTCACCACCGAACTACGTTCACGATGCGTTACCGCAATGGCTCGCAGTTCACATGATGAACATAACCATGCTAACGCATCAATTATCTCATGACCATATTTATGCAGTGTCGTTAGTGCATCATAGCAAAGACGTTCTTTCTCACAAATACGCTCTTCGAATGTCATTTCCACATAAATGTTTTGTAGAGTACCAATCTTATTCAGTGATGAGTGCAATATTGCGAATGGTGTGCAATATTTGAGTGGATAGACGACATTCAGTGGATGACACGCGAAACGATTCGCGAACTCGTTCATTGCGCTTGCGCATTCAATCGTCAATGCCGCTGCACCGATGCAGATCACACTCTTTTTCGACGCTGCAATTTGATTTGTTCAATCGATTAATTCAGCGATCAATTAGCTAAATCATTATCAGCAGCCGTATTATTGCTTCAAATGTACGTGTGAACATTCTCACCATCAAAGTTTGCTTAGCCAAAGTACAAAGCAATGATAAAGTCAATACACTTAAAATTCATGTTTGAATATGGAGCATAGAACTTATTTGGAGTGCATTCATGATAACATGCCTTGTGCTTGCACGCAGAACAGGGCATTATGGGTTGGATGACCGGCAATAATGACCACTTGTGTGTCAGCTCTTGAGATCAACTGATATGCTGTATGAGATACTGATGGAACATCGTTGTCCGCTGCCAACTGAATGCTACGTTCTGCATCTGGACACCAAATCGCTGAAAGTAATGATTCTTGTACGCTTATACTGCTTCAAACAATCACTCTACAAGCACTATCATTAACAAATCGCACAAGAGCTACCTGCATATATATATATATTCCAAGAAGTGCTAAAATTTCATCCACTTTTGATGCACATTTATGTGTGCATGATTTGGAAATTTAAAACAGTTTTTAAGATAATATCGATATTAACAATAATATGACGATGATGATGATGAGCTTATTGAACGTCTGTGAAATTACCTTTCAGTTGAAAACGTTGAATTTTTGTTATAAGACGTACATAATACTCAACAAGTCGTGCATCACTACACAACAGTCCAACCGCTTGTTGCCCTTCTTTCATAACACATTCAACAAGCACATCACCTCAACGCCGCATCCATCTGCAACCCATTTTCACCGAAGACACACTATTTCACTCACTTTTGTTCAATCTATTTCATTCACTTTTGTTCAATCTCTCATAAATATTTTGATTGTAATTAAAATGTTTTCTTTCCTATAAAATTTTTGCTCCTTTCAATTTTCATAAGGCTTGTGAATCTGATGTTGTTGGAAGTTATGGCTCGTTGGCATTTCTGAATCGATAGGCATAATTTGTTTATCTGCAAAATAGAGCTCTGCTTTGCAGATAAAGAAACAAAACAGATTACGTGCAAACTTTTGTGCTGTACGCAATGAACGCATCGAAAGAGAGATTTCCGTTACGCTTTTCCGACATGCGGGAAATGCAAATGTATAAAATTTGTTGACTGGACGAGAACAATTTTTAATCAGAAACTCAAATTATTCATGTCATTTTGTTGAAGAGAACTAAAATAGCTAAAATCGTTATACCACAACTGTCAGTACCTAGGAATATCTGCTGGAATCAGTTGTGTATTTTTGCAGACGAACAATGAATAGTGATAATGATGATGTGATTGTATTGTCGGATGACGACAGTCTGAATGCAGATTATATGTCAATGGTCAAGACTCGTACATCAGGTCTTCAGCTAAGAAATAAATTCTGTTTCGATCACTTATTGTTGAACAGTGCTTTCCTCAAATAGATCGATAGTTTTTATGGTTTCTCTTTTCTTCAACCATAATGCACTTGATTTTAAATTCATTGCGTTCCTTTTGTCTTCTTTGTCGACAAAGTCAATTGCAAAATGCTTTAAGTGTCGCATTTCAAAAAGCTAAAACATTCCAGCTGACCAGCAAGCAAACGATGAACCAATCGCGGGCACAAGTAAGGCTGTTGATGACCAATGTGAGGCTCTGTTGGAGATTCCGTCACCATCTTCTTCATATGCATCTTCGCCTCAACATTTTCTCTCGGACGAGGATAGTGATGAGGTGAGTGACTCGCACAAATCTCCTCATGTATGACTATATTCAGTTATTCCTATGAAGTAATTGTTCTTCAAATACACTTATCTTAACTAAATTTGCTATTACCCTGCATTCAGTTAGGTTTTTAAACTTCTCTCCGGAAAAGGTTACAAATGAATTTTGTGACATGCGTTTCGTTTTAAGCATATTTCAACGACTACCATCGACCTACTGTTCTTTTTCTTCAGAAAAAACGAATATCATCTGAAAATGAGCAACCGAAACGCAAAAGGCCAAAATGCAAAATTCTGTCTTCTGCTGCTGAACGTTCCATTGTCTCGATTTTGGACGCGACTTTGATTGCTGCTATTGGTAATGTTATTATTAAATGAAGTGTAGTATTCACATCGGCTTTCCAACTGTCTATATCAGTTATAAACAACCACATAATTAGCTGTAATTAAATTTTTTTATTCAGATGGTTTGGAAGATGCAGTACGTACAATGTTGACTGAATGTCATATTCCGAACGAAATCTGTAGTGAAGAAGGGGCTGAGATGTGCGTTCGCTGGCGAGTAAATGCTGGTGAAATCGATTCAGAACAAAGCAACGATGGTGATGAGGGTTCATCCCAGAAATATGAAGTATTTGATTGTTTTTTAGAACTATATTTCATACAAATCGTTACAGTCTCACAGTAAGACACATCGGCTTTAAATGCCGCTACTTGCATCATTCGTTACCAATGGAATCCTATATCATTGAGTGTCTCTTATGATTCAGATCCTCATTTATAGATTCATCGGTACTGTTGGTACTCGAGTTGTTGCTTAGTGCACGTATATTTCAGTATTATTGGCGTGATATTTTTGTGTGCATGGAAGGAAAGAAATTTGATGAATTGATCGAACAGAATGCACTTCTGGATTTTATTGAAAGGCGTGCCGGACAGAATGTTGTCGTAAGAATTGTCGTTTATGGATCTCATAAGAAACAAAATGAGGTTCGTTCGTGTACTATTTTTCAATGATATCAAGAAGAGGCGATCGACTGCTTTTTCAGCTATCTCCCAGAGATAAGTGAAGTATCAAAGAATAAAACTTATAATTAATTTTTTTTACGAGTTCAGCAGTTACAACCATTACATGATAGTATTATGAACGCGTGTTTTGTCTCTATTATAGCTATCTATGCAAATTTTTGATATATTCGAAGAAAAACGCGCTCATGTGCACTACGTGAATACAGCTACCGATTTGGCTCGTCTCATTTATCATACCCATCGTGCAATTGCACGTTGGAAGCCAGAAGGTGATGACGTTTACATGCGGGTAATTGGTAAAAAATCGGTAATATACATTCACCGTTCAACTTGTAATTTTTCGTACTCATTCAGAATCTTCCATTCTTGCAGCTATCTCATTCACCACCTTAGGTCGGGTTGTTGAATGCCACAGATCGACGGAACCAATTTGCAATTTCTGATCTCTAAACTTTTTAAATACAAAATATTATTCATATGTTGCACGTCCTTCCTAAAATTCCCCTTCTTCAATACATGAGTAATTTTACAAAAGTATCATTCATGAATGAGTTGAAGGGTGACGATTTGGTTACCGATTGGTGGTCAAAAATGTTAATGCATGTGCCTAGGATGGGGAATGAAGAGAGACGAGCCCTAGTTCGAGTGTTTCCGAATGTTTTTGATTTAATGAAACAGTTAGTGATTAAATTTTTCTAATATCTCAAACTCACAAGAACGTTTAACCGTTTCATTTTATCGATCCAGTCTGTTATACTGCCGAAAAACAATACCAACGACATTCAGACAAATTCACGGTTGACATTATAATTCAAAGCATCCTGCATAGCATCTTTGGTTTTTTGATAGTAGTCGCTTGAAACGCTCTAAACAAGAATATAAGTTGCACATATCATCCCATGTTAATATTCACCATGTTTTCGTATATGCAAAAGTTTTGCAAATGTCAGTCATAAGAACACTTGGGTTACGACAGTAAATGAAAGCTAAAAAGTCAATTGAAAGGATAGTCGAGAAAAATATTGAAGGATTGCAAACACCAGCAAGTTCTTGTTAACGAAACTCCCTGTAGCATTTTCGAGGATTTATTTCAGACTGAAACAATCAGGTGAAGACGGAATCAAATTGATTGCCGAAATAAAAACTGATGCCGGACGACGTATTGGTCCAGTCCTTGCACGCAAAGTGTTTCTTATGCTTACAAGTGAAACTGGGGAGGAATGTATTGGTTAGAAATGTGTGATAATACCCTCTGATTCTCAATTCATGTTCATGTTATTGTAATGAAATGTTCAACGAGATGTGGACATCATGAGATGTTCTTCGAAATATACTTTTGTGCTCTAAAAATTAACTTACCGGTATTGTACCTCTTACGATATCGCATTTTTGTATAACAGCAAATGAATAAACAAAACTACAAAGTACTATTGGTTGTGAACGTTTTCTTTGAATTCGATTACAACATGCGCTGAGTAAATCAATTGTGCGCAACAATACCAGTCAAAGATAATCTTTAATCGGCAATTCAATCGATCGTCATAAAATGGCAAGAACAACGCATTTTCATATTATCGAAACATAATCAATTAATTCGCTCTCGATTAGTGTAGTATAGACTGATAAAATGTAGGCGGTTGCTATTCATGTGTGTTGTTCTGTCGATATCTCATAGTTAGAAATATATAGAAAATGATTACTGTAGGACAAACCGAAAGGATGTGAAGATCATTGAACTGAAGAAAATTCCCACTTTAAAGACAGTGACTGATCTGGAACTAAACCGAGCAATGATTGGATCTGACAAAGTTGCGAATTCGTCCCACTTCTTCAATCGTTGTGAAATTCACAAAGAAACGATTCAACACCATTAATGACGAACTATTACATGATGCAATACAAAACGAAGGTATTATAAAACAACAAACCACAGATTATATTTTACACGATATAATACAGATAGAAGAAACATATTTTATAGCGCACAACAGTTGTCACATAGCACACAAAATACATGGCAAGACTGCCGCTTGAATCGTCACCCTTCAATTCATGAATGAGTTGAAGGGTGACGATTTGGTTACCGATTGGTGGTCAAAAATGTTAATGCATGTGCCTAGGATGGGGGATGAAGAGAGACGAGCCCTAGTTCGAGTGTTTCCGAATGTTTTTGATTTAATGAAACAATTAGTGATTAAATTTTTCTAATATCTCAAACTCACAAGAACGTTTAACCGTTTCATTTTATCGATCCAGTCTGTTATACTGCCGAAAAACAATACCAACGACATTCAGACAAATTCACGGTTAACATTATAATTCAAAGCATCCTGCATAGCATCTTTGGTTTTTTGGTAGTATTCGCTTGAAACGCTCTAAACAAGAATATAAGTTGCACATATCATCCCATGTTAACATTCATACATAAATGAATGAAACTTTTCAGAAACGTTTCCATTCAAAAATTTTAATAATGTGATCGATGCTCGTATTAACTATGCAACTGAACAAAAATAAGTCAATAAATACTTGAAAGCATTTGTGATCAGCACGATAAAAAATGATATGTAGGTGATGATAGTGTTAAGTGAAGAAATTTTCCTATCAACATAACTTTTTGTGCGAAAGCTAAACCTTTAGCCGATCAGCAATTGTTCCTAGCGAATTCGTCGCAAAAAAAAAGGAATAAACTATTTACATGTTATAAATACATTCAAAGGCTATTGAAAATGATCACTGAAGCGTGCACAATCCGGACTGGATGCAATCGCACTCGCATCGGTGCTCAACTCGTGTAAATAATCAAATTCCGCCAAAGCGATACGCTCTCTACGTCCGAACTGTCTGAAGGTAGACTCACGAACCGTCCTTCGTGGCGGAATAAAACGAACAACATCACCACGACGCCGTAGTTGTTTACCAATAAGCTCAAGCGTTGTCACATCCTCGTCAGAAGATAGCAGTTTCGCTTCCTTGTCCACTTCCTGATTGATCAAGCAACATATTTTGTATAATTATATTTTCAGCTGATTACAGTGAATATTCAGTGATGGGTACACGCTACTGAAAAACAAAATAGCTCCGCTAGTCGCTCATTTGCTAAAAAATTTTTTTTTGTTTCACTAAAAATAATTCGCAATTAGCGCCACTGACAAAAGAGTAGCGAAAATTTTTGACTAAAAGTGCCATTAACTGAAGAAAATCGCGGTAATTTTCATTAAAATGCTACTCAGCAAAATTAGTCCAATCAATACTTTCAAATCTTCCTTCAAAAACTGCGATCGCGCTACTGACTTGTCTGAAAAAAACTTCATCACGCCATTAGAGTCAAAAATTTTCATTTGATCATTCAACAACAAAAAATAATTTCAATGATAAACACGATCAACCTTCAACAATGAAAAACTATGCAATAAAATGCAAAGATAAAGAGCAATCAGCCGGCAGTAACCTATATTACAATCTCTAATTCCCTTCTAAGAACACCAACACGCTAAGCATTTCATCTTAAACTTTTCATCTTATTATACCAGCTGGCTCAGTCCCCTTATGATGAAAATTAACGATCATCTCACAGAAAGGATTCTAGAATGAATCTGCACAACTACCACCCCATCTCGTTAACCTGCTCAATTTAAAAAAAAAAAGTTTAATTCGGTATCCATGCCTAAATTATTCTTAAAATTGCAAGCATATAGCGTGTAAGGCTGACTGTCCAGTTAAATCCGAAATTTTCCTACGAACCGTTTTCAATCAGCACAAGTCGGGATTCATTTAGTTCGTCAGGATACACTAGCAGTGGTGTTCCTCAAGGTTCCCGTCTGGGACCCCTTCATTATAGCCTGGAATCTATTACCCCAACATATTGTCTCCCCACAATTACTCCAAATATTTAAATATAGATTTGATCGATAAAATCGGACTCGTATCCCTGTTAAATCACGCTCACTATTTCACAAGAGGAGATAGGAAAATCGAAACTAGAAATTACTTCACCCACCCAACTTTATTCATACCCATTTTATTAATTCAGGTATCATACGACTAAACCGCTTGATATCGATCTCACTTTATAATTAATTTTTTTCCATCCTTTCTCTCCTCATCAGTAGCAGTTAGGTCATTATAATCGTCAAATTGTGATCATCTGCACCGAAAATTACTGCAATACTATCATGCAAATAAACATCATTCATATCCTTTCCTAGCGAGAACAAAAGTGTAGAAAACACCATTGCACTGTCGCATAAACTATTTAAACCCACTTGGTAAGCTTGGTGAGCTCACACGGAATGCTAGTGGTGCATCCATAGGAAGTATTCGAGGTACGATTGGGTATTCAACTTCTACTCGTTAAGACGAATATGGATGCGATAAGTTTGAATTGAGCACTTGTCAATGCCAGAGCGCAAATATATATATATATTTCAAATATCTTGATGCTGGGAAAATTAATATTCTTTTGCTAATGAAAAGTAGCGAGCTAGAGGAAGTTTCAAAAAAAAAGTAGCTCGTTAGAACGCTAACGAAAGAAAATAGCGCACGTTTCTGCTACTTCATGCCGCCAAAAAAATTATGTAACGGAAGCAATTGTTACAAATACTCGCTATATGGAAATAATAGCGCGCTATCGCGCCATCAAGAAAAAATAAATAGCTCGGCTAGTAGCGAAGTGGCCCATCACTGTAAATATTCACTCTAATTATTATTTTCATCAGTGCTGTAGTGATCACCGAGTACATTTGTTACAGATGACATACTAATTCACAATGAAAGTAATAACGCTCCTTCTAAGTGATCTTTCAGTCACTCGACAACAAACATCATTGAAGTAGTATCATCACCAAAGTACGACATCACAAGTCAAGACCACCCCCAAAAAAAAACTTAACTGATTTAAGAACAATAAATGAAAAGAATAAGTACCGAGTGATGAGGAAGCAGTCCACGTGCAATGATATGTGACCGAGCACGACTGGGTGAATAGCGCCGTTGCGGGATATTCCGATCATCAACAGCGGCAATCAACGCCGGGATTTCACTATCGGAAAAAGATCGTCGTAAAGAACTTCTGCTTTGACGATCACCTCTAGAATTGATTTCTCGAACAGCATATTCATTCCGAACTTCATTCTTCTGCAAATCAGCTGATCAAATTGCTTATGTCTTAAAACAACATCGACTGATGAAATCATAATCACTTATACATAGTCCACAATCGAGTTTAGAATCAACTCAAAGGTGGAAAGAACAAATTTAAAGAATTTATTCGATATGATATTCTTTCAAAGTAAGGAAAATGAAGAATATAGTGGATGCTGCCTTGAAAGACTGAACAGTTTGAGAATTCACTCAATACGAGAGATGATGGACTTGTAAGCAATTTGAGGAAAAGAGCATTTTTAACGAAAAAGAAAATGGGAATAATTCAACTATCATATAAAAGCGAACTTCATAGGTTGGTGTTGACGAACGAGATGTTTCAGCTGCAACATTCGGACTCTCGCAACGATTAGCCGTACGAAAGTTTCGCACTTCATCCGGTAAGTCGTTTGATTGCTGAGTGGAAAATTCTGAATCGTAAAGATTGGCGTTCGACTGTGAGAGAGCACAGAGCGCCTCACCAGCACCCAACGAGCCTTCTCCAACAGCCATGCCACAATTACGTTCCTCTCGATTCAACCTTTCATGTCTCAGTTGACATTGTAACTCGGACTGTAAATGTTCACCGATCTTTTACTTCAAAAATTCATTCTTCAGTTGCAATATGAACATAGATGGCTAAAATCAACTTTCTTTTGTATGAAGAAGAAAAGCACTAAATACTCATTTGTTTATAGTGAGTTGAATTACGACCGCAAAAATCGTAAATGATTTCTTTGTTCAACAAAACTTTGACAATATTAGATACGAACAATGAGAGAATCAGATTCGCGAAGTCGACGTCTCAAACTTTGGTTTTTGTGACGTTCCGACTCGATGGCTCTTTGCGCAACAACCAACGCACGAGTGGTCTTTTCCGCTACTCGTTTCATATATTCGCAATCATTCTAAAAATTACAACAAATTTAATATTATCCAGTTGAACCTCACTCTCAAAATCAACTAAATTTTGAATGAACACCTAATCAAGCAAAATACAAAACGTCGTATTTTTAAATTCACTGCTCTCTTCAGCTGAAATTCACACGAATGAAATTGATTACTTGAGTTGATACAATTTGCTCCCTATACCGATGACGTTCCTCTTTCAAACGACGTTTCAATTTTCTCAGTTCACACTCGCATCGTTGCAGCTGGAAGATTATAAAAATAAATTTACTTCTTCACTATTTCGTAAAGAAACCTCAGAGAAAAACGTTGACATAGATGAAGCCTAATACAGTTTCAACAATATGAGTTGATTTCTTAATTCACAATAAGGAGGAATAAACTTCATACGTAGAACGTCGAACAGCTGATGGACAGACACATGTAGCTATGTATTTAGTAATAGTGAGTGTGTTGTTGATCACTTACCATTTTTTCAGTCCAGCAATTTGATAATCGATGTTTCGTTTCACGATCAGTTTATAACCTTACAATCGTGAATTTTTTCCCACAGAGATAAGCAATCTTCGAGAATGTAATGGTTTGATTGACTGATGCATAAAGAGAGCCGAAGAAAAAAGAATTGCACCCAACCTGAGTCACATATTCGTTATCGCAATCTGAATCAGCGAATGTACATAGAGCTTGTGAAGCATTCGTCGGACTTGGCTCACAACTACCATATTCCGATGTTTTTATGACATTCTCCAATTGCCTCGAATCATGCACTGCCGTTCTAGACAAACAAACTTTTAATAATAGACCGTAATTGTTTCTCGTTCAATATTCATTACTAACAAGCAAACAAAACAGTTTTGATTTCAACTCTATCAACACATCCATTTTGTACCCATTATGAAACGAAAAGAAATTCAGAGCAAAAAAGATATGAGAATGAACTGAGTAAAAACAAACTCGTTGTACTGTGTGCATTGTTGTGAGATTGTACCAACGAGAGGCTGCTTGCTAGATGTCACATTCACTCCGCCGGGACATGATCTCGTTGAACGACCTTTCTTCGGTGCCGTAACGACTGAATAAGGTGCTGCAGGTCGACTCCAAGATGTACCTCCAATATAGATGGCGTCTTTTGATGAACGCCAGGTGGGCACCGGCGAGCAACGCAGGGAAAAACGTGTTTCTTCGTTGCGTTTCTACAAATGACTATGATAAGCTGATGTAATTTACATCCTTTACAATATAAAAATACTGTAAATATGATATGATCACTGTCATGAAACAAACTGAATGCTATTCATTTATTACTGCGGTAGCAATGTTTATTTCATTTTCATTTCTCTGAATTAACGATGGTCCATAGTCAATTTAGAATGATGCGGTAATCCTGTATATAGTCATGATTAACTTAAAAGGCTGATTAACGATGGATACTATAAAAATTAATGCAAAATTTCTTGCTGACAATCTTCAACCGTCATTCAAAAACGATTTAAAACATTTGATAAGCGCGGCCCAATTCACTTACTAGGTTTCGACAAATAATTCCTCTAAATGGCAAAATACATTCTGTAAAAAATATCTTACAATTTGTATGTCGTTCACCTCTTTAGGCTTTTTGAATCGGAATATTTTAATTAAAGACGTCATATACACTCCAGGATATAGCCAAGCATTCCACAAACGAAAGAACCACACAATCGACTACCTCCTTGAATGTTTATGTTAACACACTCAAGCCAAAAAATCGACTGTTGAAGCGGTACGAGAACAAGGAATTACATCGAAAATAACATAAANAGAAAAGAGTATGAATAAATGACGGGGTACGGCAAAAAAAAAGCGATAACTAATAAAATTCGCATGCTTCTGCCATCTAGAGATAAACAGACAAGAGAAGAATCTCGTTTTTCCGATATATATTTGTCAATTCCATCAGCACATCAATTCATTCGTTATTCCACCAATCATTCAAAATTCTCATTACATCGAAGGATCTGACACAAATATGTGAAGACGCGTTCGATTTCAGCATGTTTCATTGTTTGCGCGTTACTACGTTTGTCGTTCGCGCTACCGTAGTGAGATATGTTCAGAAAGTATAATTTATCTCCCTCCCATTTGGAAGGCATTTGCTTGAGCAACTTATAGCGCTCGTTCATCTCTTATGGACAACATGACTAATTCCTCAATTCATCAACGATTCAGTGACCAGTGCTAACAATGAAAACATACTGAAATATTCAAAATTCTGAAATATTCAGAATTCTCTGTGGACATTGAGTGAAATTCGATGAATTCGAATTAGTGCAATATACATCATATTGTAGCGGAAATTCACTAGGACAGAACAAGCCGAGAAATTATCACTTAGTTGAATGAGATTAGCAATTAGAAATCAGAAGCTGGATATTGTCGTTGCCGACTTATTTAATATTATTCTGATGGCAAATAGAATATGAAGTTCGGTAAGAAAAATTGAAAATTCGGAAAATTGGGTAAGAAGTAAAAGGAAACTGAAAAAACAGTCAGTTGAGATAAAGTTTTCCTCACAAAAGGATTTTCAAGTGAATCTGTACATTCACGGAGTTCATTTCCTAGCTCGTAAACAATTTGTGGTTCGGAGATTTATTTTCATTCAAATATGTTAGCAAGAGGTATTGCGTGCTCGATTTGTGGAACAACATTCGAAGTAATCAAACTGTGCTGAAGTCATGAAAACTTGTATGGATTGAAGACAATTTTTCAGTTATCCTTACTGTACAATAAAACTAGCCGAAAGCTAAAACAAACGTTTTGATGTGCTGTAGGATGAACAAAATTAGATGCTGATATTAAAATTAATAGACAAATTAAAAATATTCAATTTTTGTTCAGCGTTCGAAAGAATCCACCGCTTATGATTTACATATTTCTGTTTCAACGGACGAAAATGGTTGCCTCTCAAAGTGGAAGAATCCCGTTTCATTGCTCCAGAATTAGAAAATCGCATTTATGAACTATATATTCTCATGAAATATAGTTCTTTCAATACAAAAAAAAATCATATTCATGAATCAGCGAAAATTATTTACATTTTAATATTACCTTTGATCACTGTTTCTTCGTAATAATTATGATTTTTATCCTGGACAATAGACAAACGCCAGTAGGACAGTAAGAATGCAATATTGTCCTGCTGGCTAATAATTCAGCTTTAAAATGGTTTTTTAGGACTGTATTCATATTCCAATTCCACAACGAAGCGTTCAAGTAAAATTTGATTTAGTACTTTCGATAAAACTGCTTCTATGCGAATGGTGACTGTGATCAAAAAGTAATTTCAATGTTCGAATGATTCTCGTTGGAATTCAAGCATTGCGCTACACCACATTTCGGTTGAAAGGTGTTTGTGATTGCACTCAGTCTTAAGCAAAATTTTCTTATGAATTTTCACCTGATGAGTGATTATTTAAACTTGCTGTCAATTTCACAATCTCCATAGAGATTGCAGGATAATGCGAGAAACACAATCGCTTCTGACAGTCGTGGACGTAATTAGCAAAAACGGTATTTCAGAACATCTTTAAAATTTTTGAACGCAGGTAAGTTGATTGTATTCGTTTGAAAAGTTGCACATTGCGGCTGAAAGGTGAATGGTGATATGCTGGTCAACATACTGTCCAACATCAATTATGTAAATTCATTTGATGAGCATAATGACTGCTTATCGTTAGTTGATTATTGCCATCTAAATTCTTATTTGATGAAATTCGTCCGTTGATTCCAGTTCAAATTCCATCCGTCATATTCCAGTTCCACAACGAGGCGTTCAAGTAAAATTTGATTTAGTACTTTCGATAAAACTGCTTCTATGCGAATGGTGACTGTGATCAAAAGGTAATTTCAGTGTTTGAATGATTCTCGTTGGAATTCAAGCATTGCGCCACACCACACCAACAGGATCATCGTCCTCTTCCTCAACGTTTAGTTAATTGCCAACCCGATAAGGTCCGCCTCGCAAAGAGCCAAGCTAGACGAAAAGCTTGGGCATGCGTGCGTGCAACAGCAACATGCTCGCCAACAATCTTCCAATATATCTAATCCATCGTGATGCGAGAGTGATGCGATGCGAGTGCGTTTCAATACTACGCAAGAAGCAAGCGCTCTACTGGTTGGATAAGATAGACGTGTATTTATCCGTTTAAACTGAGAAGTATACGTTGGGTATGAATGGATTCGTATGGATCTGTGTTGTTTATATGCTTACGCAGTTTATTTAAGCAAATTTTTACTCAATCATAATCTTGTTCTGAAAAATGTTGCTGAATTATAACGGAATAAAAACTTTTGCAAATGATCGTTATTTCTTAAATACGGTGATATTCTGCAGCATTTGCTCCACTTTATAATTTTTGTAAATCTAGAATCAAATTCAGTGATATGCTCAAGGGTGAGTGATGTTTTCTGTTATTCATTGATCTCTTTTTACGAACGAGTACACTGCCTCTCGCAATACAGCAATGTTGATGTGCTGCTATTGCTGTCACTGCTTAACTTCTTGCTCCATGCAACGTTGCTGTTCAATTTTTCTTGTAGTTTCCGTCAAAAAATCGTTGTCTCTGAAGTAAGTCACTGCTAAGCAACCACCAATGTATCATTAATTTGATCTGTCATCTTTACTTTCAATGCCACTTTCATAAATACTTTTTTTATTGATCAATAATCTACCATGGTTTTTGCGGTAAATTTTGTAGAGCAAAGTTTTCGTGCGCATTTCTGTCATGAATTTGAATCAACTGAACAACGGATGTGCGCTCTGTTGAGTTGCGGAACGCTCGCAACTTACTTTTATCGCATTCAACGCAAATCCTAACATTCTGTTTTTTCCGCATAAGTGCGTTCGAAATACTTGAATATATACATTGTTCGAATTTTTGCGCTGAAAATTTACGAAAATTATTTATATAAACTCTGACCTTAATGGACAAATTTGCTTTCTTAATGAAAATTTACCAAAGGCGTTGGATGTGATGGTGGCACAATACCCTAGAGATTCCTTACAATTAGTTGCGACTCGGTGCTTTTCGGTTAGCAAATCCATGTCACACAAACTCGTTTAGCTGTGAACTGTGGCCCAGAACCTTATTCTGGGCCACAGTTCACAGCTAAACGATCTCCAAAAATAAATTGTTTGCTTTATGACCCAAGCTTGATTATATGCTTTTTGCGCTCATATTCATAAGTTTTTGAAATCGTCTAGGAACTCTCAAAAATTGATGTGATTCATTGATTGTTTTTCGATGTTGAATTGAGGTAGGATAAGTGTATATACGTCAAGAGTGTTGAGCACTTGTAAAGTATGAAGTATAAATAATGTAAGATGCGATTTGACTTATAAGCGATGAGAACGCATTACTTGCTAGTCAAGGAATTAGCGCTATGTAATTGAATTGGTTGTTGGTTTGTTTGTTTTGTTACATCTTTATCCACTCCATTCTCAACGCATTATCTTGTTGTATCAGTTGTTTTAATAGAATAATAATCTCATTTGCTTATCCAAGCTCGTTGTTTTTCACATTGCACTCCTCACTGAATTCTTTTTCAATTCAACATCGTATGCTTTTTAATTAGATCTTTTTCTAGCTTCAGACATTTCTTTGTTCGAATTTTCCATTCTATTTACAGCTGTATTTCAATGTTACCGTTCTCAATATTTATTTCTTAAAGACTTCGAAAAACAAAATTAATCTTTGTTATCTCACCGACTACAAAGGCAACTTCTTGACCTTGTAAACTTTCAGAGTTTTTGGAGCAGTCTTTCATTAAATATTTCGAGTATTTTCATTGTAACATAGCGTTGCGAACAAGTGTTACGTTTTGAAATTTCGTCAGTGATCACAGATTATTGTCGAAACGATCTGTATGTATACGTACCTTGGAATTTGATATGTCATTCGCAGTTGCAGTTTGTTTTCCTGTGGATGTTCGCAGAATATTACCTGCCTCCAATGTTTTTTTTTTTTTTAAATTTCGCATTGATGTTTAGTGAATGAAAATGGAAGCACTCTCAATGAAATGTTTCAATCACTATCTGATGTAAGCAATAATTCATGTATATATTAATCTTGAACAGATGCAAGAACAACAAAACATTTTACAAATCAGTAATCAGTATACCGCGAGAGCACACCGAAGCTATCAACAACGCTATCTGGCATCAGATACACTCACAAAAACAAAACAAATCGCCGAAAGCAACGTTTTTTTAAAACGGCTTCAACGTGCACATCTTCAAAACTGAATGATAAGACCTAACCTGTCAATGATATACTTTAATTTTTGTGCATTAAGTAAGCTTATTTAATTTATTTCAACTTCAAATTTCAAATGTCGTTTGCGCATTTCGCAATCAAATGCTCTATTTGCATACACCGTAAGTCAAGAAAATAGCATATTCGCGATAATAAATGTACAAATGCAATGTTATTCCACGCAATTAACATTCTCTCTTTGTGTGTCGTGTCCATCTTGAATAAGGCATTATACTTCAAAACGTACTGAATCAATTCATTCTTCTGTGTCTTCAAGCACAACAATCACTTCAATCTTTTCATCAGTGCTAATTATCAATATAATTTCCTTTTACTATTACAAAATTCGTTCATAAT